TTGAATATGCACTTCTTACTAGCCAGTTTTAATTTATGCTATAATTTCCTTTAAATCATTTTATTGTTACAATAAGGAATTTGAATAATATTTTAAACTTTTTATACAAGTTTTAAAAGTGCTTATATATTGTGAGATAGCAAGAAATTATAAAAGAACATTAAACTATTGAAGTCTGCTAGATAAAAACTAAAAGCTATAGGCAATATGATTTTCTTCATAGAAAATCAAAGCTAATTAAGAGGAAAACAGCCAAAATCATGAAATAATTCAATGTGATTCAATTCAAAATATAAATATAACAAATTTATAACTATCAGTATTACCCAACTGTAACCACTGATGAAATTATCTCAAAAGAACAAAAATATTACCATATATGAGTAATAGCTTTTAAATATACAAGACCTATATAAAGAAAACTATTTGCATTTTAAAGAGAAGATGAAGTGTGTAGAAAAAATATTGCAACAGGGGCACATTTATGCAAGGCTCAATATTTTATATGTGAAGCTGGAAACATAATTGATAACCTAGTGTAGTCTCTTTTAATATGTGAAAATTCATACAGTGTTTTAAGGTAATAAAGAGGATGAGTAAGGACTATAGAAGAGAAGACAATGATTAAAAAGCAGTTTAAAAAGAAAAGAAAAAAGTGAAAGAAGGAACATAAAAACCTGGAGATTATAATACTCCAACTTTTGTGATTGGTTGATCTTAGTTATTATCAAACTGATTGGTTTTTAAAACATCTAGGAGTTTGTTAAAGGACACTTCTGGGCATGTCGGGGTGGGCTATTGTGGCGAGAACCTGGGGGCCATATCTCTTCCCTGGCCCCCTTCCTCTCGGGCTCCTTCCCTTTCTTTCTGCTTCTTCCACCATGCCCTTTCAATGCAGTGGCCCTGCCTTGGAGCCAGCTGACCGTGGATGAAATCCATGACACGCAAAGCCAGTATATACCATTTTTCCATTTAAATTGTACATTAAGTGTTTTGTCCTAACTCTGAAATGCAGAACAATAATTCTTCCTTTAGTTATAAACTTCAGAGTGTTCTCAAATCATAGCTCTTCAGATATTTTTAATCTACAGAGTCCACCACAAAATGTCTATGGACTTCAGGAAAAGAAAATCTTGTATAAATATTTTAATACTAAATTTATTGAGACATCATGAGATTCATACAAGTTACCTTTGGCCTCTATAATTACAAGAGGTGCTCAAAGTGGTGGCCATTGGCTTCCAGACATTTATTAGTACGGTGAACTGCTGCTCGGGTAAACTTGGTCATTGAGATTACTGCACATGCATTGTCAATTTCTTC